AGGAAGAACAAGAGGAGGAGGGAGACCAGGAGGAAGAGAGGAGGGGGGAGGGAGGGAGGGAGGGAGGGAAAGGAATGTTAAAAAAGGAGCAAGTCCTACTCGCCCTTGTGTAGAACAGGGTAGGGCACTGCTACCTGCTCTCTTGGACCTATGGAGCTATGATAAGCACAAAGGTAAGTGAAGAAGCAATAAACCTCCCTGGCCTGGAGGTACATTTCAAAGGTTTGTCTGGTCACCACTTTCCAACTGCATGACCACACATAGGAATTTGGCTGCTCTGAGCGGCCCTCCCCCTCCTAAGGTCAAGAAATGAGACAATGGAGAAAGCGCACTCAGTTCAGAACCAGGCCCGTGCTGAGCCCTCTTTACTGAGTAGCTGGCATTGACACCACTGAAGCTTCTGCAAAGGACCTTGGGAGCATCACAGGGCACACAGAGCACGGGCCGTCATGCTAGACAGGGACCAAGCCCTGCTCCCCAGGGGTGACACTTACTTCAGGGGCATGGTAGGAGATACATTGGAAGATCCAGTCCATGGCAGGCGAGTACAGGGGGAGGTACGATGGGAGCTCCACACCCTGGGCCACCAGCTGGTTCTGGACAGTGTCCCCATGAATCTATAAGAGAGAAAAGACATCAGAAAAGAGGGAATTACAGTATACAGGCCAGGCTTGGAAGCATTTCCATGGTCCCAAGGCAACAGCCTGCTTTCTTAGTTGTGGTTAAAAAACAAAACCAAACCCACTGCAAGTTTCCCATGTCACCCACTTGAAGGTGCCACAGGACAGAAGCAACCTGAGGAAATGGAGCCAAGTATGGCCCACGACAGACACAAGTGTCACTTGTCATACATCTAGCAAGCAATAAGGATTCTCAGCTTAGAATGCCCACTGAGTTTTGAGAATTTGCTCTCCCATAACAGTTCAATGAACTGCTCTCATGGATTCTCCTACCTGTTTAAATGTAAGCAGGAAGTCAAAAAAATTCTTATTGAGGCTCTCTTTAAGGTGCGGGGCCACCTCCATCCCCACCTGCAACCAAACATAGAGGTCACCTTGACAGCCAAGAACCAATTGTAAGACATATACTATGGTGTTTTGGGGTTTTTTTGGACATAGGGTCTCATTATATAGTCCAGCCTGGATGAGAGTTCATGATTCCTGCCTTGCAAGTGCTGTGCTACCACATACAGCTATAACGCCATTTTTGTAAATGTAAGAGAGAGAGACAGAGATAGAGACAGAGAGGCTGGGAATATAGTTCAGTGATAGACTGTTTGCTGACCATGTATATGGCCCAAGGCCCTAAGTTCAATTCCCAGCACCATAACACACACACACATACACACACACATGCACGCATACAAGCATATATACAAAGAAGTCTACAAAACTGATTTTTATTCATTCTGCTCCCATTCTCCACTCAATAAACAAGTGCTGCTTTTATAAGAAAAACTACAGAAGCTATTTTTAATGAAAAAAGGACATTTGCAGTAATCATCTTCGCAATTTCCCAAAGGTAATGAATATATTTTTGAACAAATGACCCAAAGAACAAATCAATATAACACTACGAAGGAATGTGCTTTCAAGATGGTATAAACAATATTTTCTTCCTCTCAAAAGAAGATGATCAACACTCATGGATGTTCACTAGATGAAGCAAAAGCTTTCGGTGGGGACACGGAGTGGCTCAGTGATAGTACAAGTGCTTAGCACGCATACCGTCCTGGGTTCAACTCCCAGCACCCTCCTTAACCCCCAAAACATCAGGGTATGTAGGACAGTCAGCTTCTGTCACAACTGCTGCACTGCTGAAACCAATAGATTCATTCTTTGCTTGGTAATCATGGAAACACACACATATTTTTTTTCCTTTGGTTTTTTTGAGACAGGGTCTCCCTGTAGCCCCAGCTGGCCTAGAACTCACTTTGTAGACCAGGCTGGCCTTGAACTCAGAGATCTGCCTGCCTCTGCCTCCCAAGGGCTGGGATCAAAGGTGTGCACCACCACACCCACTTAGAAACACACCTTTTATATTTTTAATTACATGTATGTGTGGGTATATGCACATGAGAGCTGGTGTCTGTGGATCCCACTGGAACTGGAGTCACAGGTGGTTGTAATCTGCTCAGTGTGGGTGCTAGGAACTGAACCTGGGTCCTTCCTCTGCAAGAGCAGTAAGCACTCTTAATTAACAAGTCATCTCCCCAATCCCTTAAATATGCCTAATAAACTGGGTTGGATCCCTGAGAACTACATGGTGCAGGGAGAGAACTGACTCCTGAAAGATATCCTCTGAGGTCCACAGGTACACAGAGAGAGAGAGAGAGAGAGAGAGAGAGAAAGAGAGAGAGATTCATACAATAAATAAATGTAATTTAATTAAAAATGCCATGACACATTGGCTCCTGAGCTCAGTATTTAAAAAACAGATTGAGCCAGGCATGGTGGCGCACACCTTTAATCCCAGCACTCAGGAGGCAGAGGCAGGCAGATCCCTGTGAGTTCAAGGCCAGCCTGGTCTACATAGTGAGTTCCAGGCCAGCTGGGGCTACAGGGAAACCCTGTCTCAAAAAGACAAAAAAAAAACAAAAAAAAAACCACAGATTGAATTTTAAAGTACATAAGGTAGAAAAAAGATAGTGCTTTTTGTGTGTAAGGTACCTTTTCTTAAATTTCTAGCTAAGGAAAGTTGCTGATTTCAGAGAGCTGGAGAGGGAAGCCAAAGTGAAGGGATGAGACATGCAGGGGAGCACAAGCATTTAAAACAAAAGTGGCTAGAGATAGCACCTGGTCCTCTTGCACAGGGTTGGAATTCAGTTCCCAGAACCTGCATCAGGGAGCTCATAACTGCCACTAACTCCAGCTCTAGGGGATCTGAGACCCTCTTCTGGTCTTCACAGGCACTGTACTCACATGCATACTGAGACATACACACATACACAAATTTAAAAAATAAAAAATAAAACATGCCAAGCTCCTCAGCTGTGCCTCAATTCCAAACTGCTAACTACCCACAGACACAACTTCCTGAGGGAAGTTGCTATGTGGGCTCCTCCACTGGGAATGGAATTCTCCTCGTCACTTCCCACTCCCTGGAAGGCCCCATGGTTACCAATAATAATGCTGTTCTGATGGTGTCAAGCATCCTTTGTACAGAACTATGAGACTCACCAGATGGTTAAATTCTAAGAGCATCTCTAAGACTGAGTGGGGGGAAGGGACAGAAAAGGATGTTTCCAAGGACAACCACAGAGCTTACAGAAACAACAAACAACAAACGTCAGATCCAGCTCCACTGTGTTCTGAGTCTAGTGTCTTTCCTTCCACTTTATAATTACGCTAGGTGACAGAGAAGGCTGGCCCAGTAGACAAGTGGAGAGGAGCTGGAAGGGCCGGGCTAGAGGAGGAGCTAGGCACGCTCTTCCTGTGCCAACAGCTTCAGGTTCACCCACGCACTGCTTTGTTGTTTACTTCTTTTCATCAAGTCAAACTAGCACTTGGAAGAGGGCCTGGCTCTCAGCTGCTGCCCAGGGTAGCTTGGGGCCCTGCTTGGGGCTCCAGCTGCCTGTCTGGTCTGCCTGCTCTTCATTCCCTCTGCTTCTACATCAGCAAACTGGGTTGTCTTTAGGGATAATCCTTCCTAACCGTGAGGTTAGGTCCATGGAGCTGAGTTCCAAGAGTGGGCACATGCCCCAGGCCCAATCAGTTAAGCGTACTCCATGCCACAGCCAGAGTGGTGGGTTTAGGGATGGGAAATGACCCCAGGTAGTCTAGAGAATCAGCTCTGAAGACTAACAGGATCTACTAGGGAAAAAATGCCTTATAAGTAACTTTCCGACATAGTTGCTAAAGATGGTAGGATGGAAGCCAGAAGCTGCTGCGTTCTACCATATTTAAAAGTTCAAGTCCCAGAATAAAGCCAAAGGAAAACAAATTCCTGACATGCCCAATGCTGAGACCTAGTCAAGGCTATACCACTCTACATTCTTTAGACACAAAGGCTGGCTATACCAGCTATTTTTCTCAATACCCGAGAATCCAACTTTAAGGAAAAAGGAATTATTTTGGCTCTGTTTCAAAGGTCTTAGTCCATGGCCACTTGACCCCATGCACAAGGATGGAACATCATGGCAGTGATGTGAGATGATTCTCACATGATGGAAGGCAGGAGAAAGGAGTTGGGGAACAGGAAGGAACCAGGGTGAGATAACAGCTCCCAAACACTCCCAAACTCAATTGCCTGCTTCCTCCAGCAACGCCCCCAATACTGCCATCTGCATCCATCAGATTAATCCACGCATTAGGTCAGAGCCTAGATAATCTAATGGACTCTGGAAACACCCTCACAGACTCCCAAGACCTGTGCCTCAATAACCTCCTAGACATCTCTCAAACCAAATAAGTTGACAGTCAAGATTATCCATCACATAAGCCAATAAATAAATCCCTATGTGTGCTTCTAATAGTCTGAAGTAGGCCTTTGCCACTTGGAATGAAAGCATGCTTACTAATGCCCACTGTCTGTCTCTCTCTGGATTGAACCCAGGTCCTTATATCTGCTAGGCACTCTGTCAATGAGTTACATCTTCAACCCCTACCCCTTACTCTTTTTATGTCAAAACACTTAATAACTACTCAATCAGGATATTTGTTACAGCACCTGTACTTACAAAGATGATGTCGCTAACACAGTGAACTCCCAGTCTCTCTGGGCTGGATGGTCCTTGTCCTCAGCATCTCGTCCTCACTGCCGTGTTTTCAAATGGCATCTTGCCAGTCAAAGGTACCTTACATGGAACAGGCTTTACCTTTCTCTAGCTCATGTACCTTGCTTCAGATCTTAAAACAGGTTTGCAAGGAGCTGTGTTTCTTTTCTGATTTTTCTCTAACAAGTAAAATCATCTTCTTTAAACAGTGTGATCCTAAATCTTTATTATTCAACAGAGGTCGAGGCCAATGGACAGAATCTGCCATGATTAACAAGGCAAATCTGCAAACAAAGGCGGCCCTTACAGGAAGTGGTGTTTTGCATACAAGTAGGAAGAGGATGTTTTGAGCTCGGAATTCCTGGATGAAAAACCCAACCCCAAATTTCAAGCAAACAATGATGTTGCACTTTTAGCCTGTTACAAAAGAGGTGCAGGTATGTTTTAATGGAAGACTTTCTCTTCTCTTTTCCATATTAGGAATAGGCTTTAAAAAAAAAAATCATCCTTCCAGCTGGGCGTGGTGGCACACACGCCTTCAGTCTCAGAGGCAGGTGGATCTCTGTGAGTTCAAGGCCAGCCTGGTCTACATAGTGAGTTCCAGGCCAGCTGGGGCTATAGAGAGACCCTGTCTCAAAAAAAGAAAAGAAAAATCCTTCATGATGGATATCTGCTACTGAGTCTGAGGGAGTAACTGAGGTTCTGCTGATACTTGGCCGTTAAGCTTTCATCATTACAAGATGTGTGGAAGAAGCAAATTGAAGGTTCTTGATTTAAGAACAGGTATCACAGCTCCTGCTCTATTGTTGTTATGTCCTGGGATTCATCAGGGGCAACAAGCCCTTGTGCACAATGCTGATGAGGCATGTGCAGAAGGCCCTCCATTGGAGAGTCCTGTGAGAGTTAAAGGCCCTCTGCAGCTGAAGAAAACTGGCTTTCTCCCCTCCACAGGTTACATTCTTCATAAACCAAAAACCAACTGCCGTGAAAGCGCCAAGACACATTACTACAGAGAGAGGACACATGAGTGGGTCCCCGTCAGTTCTGGTCATTCTATCACAGCAGCTGAAGCCAGGCTACCCAGGCCCTGTGACCTGTGTCACCTGCCCAAGTCTTTACCAGCTCACATCAAACCATACTCTTTAATAGAAGACACAATTAAAAAAAAAAAAATTACAATCATGTACTTCAACACAAGGACAAGTGTGTCTCGAGCCAGAGAACAGGAGCCTAGGAGACGCCTTCCCAGCTAGAACTGAGAAACAATTAATTCAGAAAACCAGTTCACTTGGGTGAAGATGACCTTAAACATCCCCTAATTAAAACTGTGGTGAGTTGGTCTACTTTAAAATCAACTTTTATAAGAATCCTGCAGCTCTGCTCTCTGTGGAAGAGCTGTGTCCTATAATTAGCAGCTACTAAGGCAAACAGGCGGTAGGGAAGGAGAAGGCACAAAGAGACCAGGAGCAGCCATGTTTGCAAGCACAGCCTACCCGGCACAGGTAGGCTCTGGCGTACACGGATACGAGTGGGTCCCCGATCCCTCTGATCATGCAAGTCAGCCGGGGCAGGCACTCCGAAATCCCTCTGTGGGAGAAAAAGAGGCAGCGTTACACCCAGTGGGGACTCCCTACTGTCATTTTCACAGTAAAGCAAAACTTCTTAAACTTAGGGGAGAAAAACACAACTACCAAGAACAAATCAAAGTTTCGGTTTGCTGATATCGTGTAGAAAGTTTTTTCTCTTCAGCTAAGATTCACTAAATGATGCCTTTCACTTTTTACCCCCCATTTGAGGTCACACTTATTTTTACTAATTTATTTTTTTTGGTGCATTTGAGACAGGGTCTCACTATGTAGCCCAGACTGGTCTTGAACTCTCGACCCTCCTTCCTTAGCCTCCTGAGTGCTGGGATTAAAGGCAAGTGCTGCCACACGCAGCCCTACTTTACAAATTTTTAGTTTTATTCTCCACTGGCTTTCCATTAACTGGCAGCCCCTTGATCTTCTATATGGATCAGTCTTTGGCACTGGTTCAGTGTTGTCCTCCGGTCTCTTCCCACTACCTCAGGCTAGCAGCAGAGAGCCGCCACCACCACCATCAATGTGACTTATGATTCATTCCTCCTGCAATGTGGGACTTCCCCCTGCCTAAGATATGATCCTTGCCCAAACGGGGAGGCAAAATAATGGTTTCTTCAGGACTCATAAACCATTCCAGACACTCCTAGCTCTAAATCAATCTCAACAGTTCTCTGTGGATTGTCCCTGGCTGCTCTGAGTTGTTTGTGACAAAGCTGCCAGACATGGGCTCTACAGAACACTAATCAGGTTCCCTCAAGCTCTGCACACTGCTCTCAGACTAGGTCTGTGAGGAACCACAGCAGCACGTGGCCTCAGCTCCAGGGGCAAAGGCTTCTGCTTCCAACACCTTCACTATCATCTTTTCAAGGGCAGCAGCCAAAATACAGCGCAGGCAGGCCTGCCCGGGTGCCTCCCAGTGCTGTGCAAGCAGTTCAGGGTCCGCATGTGCTCTCCTTAGGCCCATGCTCAGCAGGGGACTGAGGCTCTGGTCTTAACAACTTACTGGCAATCACACAGCCAGGATCCCCACAATCAGATTCAAACACAGTGGAGCAGATCTCCTGGGAGCTTCTCAACCTCCCCAGTCCCCCGCCCCATCAGCTTGACTTTTTCTTCTGTTCACTATATAGCGATTAACATGCTATTTCTTCTTCATTAAGTTTCCACATGGATAAGTAAGAAAATACACAGCCAGTGATTACCATTAGATCCCATATTACACATTTGTGAATGATAGCTACTATGACACTGCTACAAGTATTTATATTCACACGTGAGTGTGACAAGCTTTGCAGAAACTCTAGTTCCAGAAACTCTACAAGACCCTTACGTTTTGGAGAGGAATCTGTTACACTTCAGGATGGATGCCTCTACGTAACTACAAAAGCATTCTGTTAAGGAAGACATGTTCCAGACAGCCTGTTCCCTATGGGCAAAGACTATTCCAGAAAAAATCTAGGCAAGTGATAGGTGTGAGAGGGGGCCACCACAGCCCTTGACAATGCAGAGAACTGAGTCAGCAGCTTGTGGTTTTGCTACAGTGTTCTCTAGCTTCATACTTATTTAAGTTTTGGAAAAATGCTACACATTGCTTCATGACTGCATGCTGAAATTTCAACTGGGTTTTAAGCATTCTAATCAAAGCCTTCTGAGGAAAGTAAGAGCTCCAGAAAGCTAAGATACACTGCGTGCAGGTCAATCTCTGCTCTTCACTATGGGTATCAGTGCTGAGACCTCGGCCAGCAACGTGACTTGGTGGGCAAAGCACCTGCTGCCAAGCCTAGTCACTTGACTTAGATCCCTGGAACACACATGGTAGGAGACTTGAGTCCTGTAAGCTGTCCTCTGACCGCCATATGTGCACTATGGCACCCTACCCCCTGCAATAAGTAAAAAAAAAATAAAAAATAAAAAAATTGGAAAAATACTTTTTTTTAAAAAAGGGGGAAAAAAGGGGGCAGGAAAGATGGCTCAGCAGTTAAGAACACTGGTTGTTCTTGCAGAAGACCCAGGTTTGAATCCCAGCACCCACATGGCAGCTAACAGCTGTCCGTAACTCCAGTTTCAGGGGATCCGACAGCCTCTTCTGTCCTCTGCGGGCACTGCATGACACGGGTGCACTTACCTACATGCAGGCAATACACGCATACACATAAAAATAATAAAATATTTTTTTTAAAAAAAGGGGACCTGCTATTTTTTTAAATTTCTGGAACCAGAGAAAACGCATTAAGAGGAGTTTTAATTGAGTTAACGTAGAAGTGTTCCTCAAAGAAATAAAAGCCTAATCCGTGCATGGTATTCAAAGAAACAAACAATTTGGAAAGAGCAAGATTCCAAGCTGGGGCCTCTCTGATATAACTAGTGACCACAACAGGACCAAATCTTCTACAGGAACTTCTAGGCAGCCTATCCCATAGCCTCTGTTGGCTACGCAGATAGGAAAAGGATACAATCTCGGAATGAGTTCCCGGATGGAAGCAATCTTGAAAAACCAATTCAGGCATGTTTCCTTGGCTGTGTCATTCACGTTCTCTGGAGAAAAGTGATCTGCAATGCAGAGAGTCCATGGTAGCCCTAAGTTCCAGCACTGTGCAATGTTATACCACCATTAGCCCACTTACCCACAAAGCAGCCCTCCACCCATCTCCAGACTTGGACGCACAGAGAAATTTAGTGGACACACAGCACGCGAACATTGGAGAGGAACTGTACAGGCCCAGTGGCCTGGCTGCATGGTCTGCATTTTTAGTCACCACCTGTGCTGAATCCAGAGGTCCTTGGTGTACACAGCAGCCACTGCGACAAAAGCTAAAGAATCACGGATACTTTTAACACCTGATCTCGTAGCAGGAAATGTGAATGATGCTTTTACCCTAAACATCATATGGGTCAGACCTGAAGGTAAATCAAGGCCTGGGTGTGGGAAACCAGCAGAGCCAAGCTGCCGGCTCGATACAGTTCCGACACGTCAGTCTCCTTTGATCAGCTTATTCCAGCATCATCCTCTTTAATAATAGAACTCTGTTTTCTCTGCTGGGCACTGGGCCATTCTTGCAGCCAGGTATGGTCATATGACTAAGTTTGGCTCCCAAAATATAATCAAAAGTGCAGTTTCTGGGAAACAACTTTAAGGGACTGGGCTTGACCCCCCTTATTCCCACATGCCTACTGCCAGCTGACTGGAACACACACAGCAGCTGGGACCTCTGTAGCCTGATCCCAGAAAATATTAAGGCAGTAGCAGTCAGGATCCTTGGCACCATGCACCTGCCCACCAGTCTTTATATTCTTCAGTGGTACTCTGAATTTTCTGGCCTGGCATCTAACCATAGCCTTGATAAACATGCTTTGCTATCAACAACAAAAATTTACAACTCACTGTTCTGGACTTAATATACATTTTCATAAGGAATGGAAGCATGAGAAAATCAAAGAAAATACCAGTTGGTAGAGTGCTTGATGTGCCAACATAAGAACCTGAGTCCTGCCAGGTGTGGCAGCATGCACCTTTAATCCCAGCCCTCAGGAGACAGAGGCAGGTGGATCTCTGCGCGATCAGGCCACCCTGGTTCACACGTGACTTCCAGGTGGGCTGTGACTAGGGAGACCCTGTCAAAAAACAACCAACGAAAAGACAAAAAAAGAACCTGAGTCCTGGCCAGCCTTTAATCCCAGCACTGGGAGGCAGAGGCGGACGGATCTCTGTGAGTTCAAGGCCAACCTGATCTACATAGTGAGTTCCAGGCTAGCTGGAACTACAGAGAGACTCTGTCTCAAAAAGAAGACAAAAATAAAAAGAAGAGAACCAGAGTCCAATCCCCAGCACCCACATAGTGGTGCATGCTTGTAATCCTAGCACTGGGAAGGCAGAGACAGGAGGAGGCCCAGCCAGGCTCAATGGCCAGCCAGTTTAGCCTACTCAGTGAGTTCCAAACCGGGGAGACACCGTGTCTCAAAAACAAGGTGGACGGCGCCTGAGGAACAACACCCAAGGTTGTCCTCTGGGTCTCCATGGAGATATGTACATATGGGCACCTGCACATACATGAATAGCATGTGTACGCACACACACACACATACACAAGTAAATTAGAAATCTTTTAAAGACTGGAGCCTGACGCCATCACTGGTGTGCTTTACATTTTTAGGATTCAATTAAGACAGAAGGGCTAATGTCGTCAGAACTAACTCTCAGCTCATTGGTTCTCATCCTGCTCTGCAGTGAGTCACTTTTCAGCCCCAATTCTGCCATTGGTGGCATGTGACCACTTTCCCTTTCCCATACGTAATAAAGTAATTGCTTGTTTTAAAAGGCACGATAAGGGATATCCTTAAACTCATGTGTCAATGTACTTATGGAAGAGGGCGTGAGGTTCAGTTCCCTTCATGTGACCGAATCTGTTTGCAGTCCAAATGCAAAAGAGCTGCCCAGAGTTATCATAAAATCTCCTGCTTCCCAGGTGAAGGAGCCGGGGCTTGAGGAAAGGTGGAAAAATCCATGCTTCTAGTAGCGTCATTAAGAGAGCTGGACACTCTGGGCAGAGTGGTACACATCTATAATCCCAGCACTCGGAATCATAAGTTCAAGGCTACATAAAAAGATCTGCTCCAGAATGAAAAAGCTGAACTCGCAAGTTGCCCTGTATATGCCTCATGCACACTGACTATAAACTACAGGTCAATCTCATGCAGTGCACAGACTTCAGGCTTTCCTTCTAGCTCAAGAGAATTAAGAAAAGGACTCTTATGAAGGACTTTAACATGAATAGCAAACTAAACAATACACTCCTTTACTTTATTTGCTCAATAGAGAGCCTTTAAAAGCCACCTAAAGATAGTGTTTAAGCTTTAGGAAGATAGCAGTGCATTAGGCAGGCCTTGTCCTCAGGAAGTTTACAAATAACAAACAGGAAGCAATAATTAGGTAAAACCATAAGATACCAGTTAATGGCAATTAGAATGACCAAAGATAGAAAACTAGGCACTGGAATGGATGGTGGCTTGGGGGGAGCAGGGCAGGGAGGATTAGATAAGATGATGAGAAAAGTTCCTGCACAGAAAAGTTCCTGAGTTGGTCCATGCTTAGATGTAGAGGAAATGCATTATAGAAAGAGGAAACAGTTAAGTGTCCTTGGCATGGTCAAAGACCAGATAGCAAGCCAAGGCAAGGATCAGAAGGCAGCATGTCTCCCAGACAGGGCATGCAACGGAAACCCCACTGAAGCCTGAGCACAGGAAAGGCAGACATGATCTATACTCTCTATACTCTAGCACTGGAGGTACTATACAGAGAAGCAATTCAGGATTTGAAAATTAATCCCTTTCATATAAACCTGAACTTTCGTGAAAGTTTTAGGAAAAAGGAAGAGACCAATGATGAATTCTCTTTCACTGATCCTAGCGTGGCCCAAGTCAGCCCTGGGGACAACCTCAAGATAGAGTTACTCAGTCAATGAGGCAGGAACCACAATACAACAAACTCGGGCTGTCTTGGAGCAAAGTGATTTAATCAGGGCACACAGCCTCTTTATATTCATGCTGGATTAAGAAATGGGGTCAGGAAGATGGCTCATTAAAGGTGCTTGGACCAAACCTAATGACCTGAGTTCAATCACCAGGACCCACACAGTAGAAGGAGCAAACTGTCTCCCACAAATAGTCCTGTGACCTCTATACGCATGCTGGCAGGTGTATATGAAAAAATAATAAAAAAGAAAGCAATGTTAGGTGTGGGATGACAACACATAGTAACCTGCACTTACCCTTTTTTTTTAAGGCAGCCTCTCTCTCACTCTCACTATGTAGCTCAGGCTAGCCTGGAAAGTAATTCTCCTGCCTTAACCTCCTGAGTACTGGAATTACATGTTTGTGCCACCAGGGGTGGCCTATGTATACTTTGCATAACCCCAAATGACAATGGCATCTGTCTGAACTCATAAGAGCTAACCATAGCTAAAAATTCTGAAGGCAAAGAGCTCAGGGATGAACTTCTCTGGTTGGAACTTGATCTGAACAGAAAGAATGAATCCAAATGTCACCAGGTTCCCTCCTACAGAATTTCTTCAGGCAGAACTCTGTGGAGCAGACTTCAAATTGTTTTTCTGATTTTGGTTAAGAGTCATCCCCAGATCACTGGCAACTCTGGGCAAAGTCTATCCTTCCGCTTTTGGGTTCTGAGGCCCAGAGAAGAATATGCAAGTAAAGATTTTAAGGGAAAGATAAAAATAATGGCCAAATCAATTGCAAGAAAACAAAAACTTAGGTTAGCTTAGGCAACACAGCAAGACATGGCCCAAAACAAAACAAAAAAACAACAACACAAAGCCCCATAAAACCCTCATCTGTACCTTTCTAAGTTAAAAAAGTTATTCAGGAAGGGAAGAATTTTATGATAAAAGTGCTAACTAATAAATTTAGCTAAAAGAACATCCTTTAATGTTTGTAGGAGTTAGTTATTACTAATTTTTCCTTATTTGGCCCTAAAACGTTTGGGAATATGGGAAATTATTGCAAATGTCATGGGGGTCAGGAAAATAAACTTGTTTATTTTGAGACAAAGTCTTGATACGTAGCCCAGGCTGGTCTTTAACCTGACTCCTGTTTCGGCCTGAAGTGCTGGGATTATAGGTATGTACCACCCAGCTTAAAGGTTTTTAAGTGATTAAGTATGCCAAAATTGGAAGAAGCAGGGACTGAGAGGTTATCTAATCCCAAGTCGGCAGCCCTAAACACAGGGGCACACAAGCACCACCAAATGGACTCCGTGCCTTATACATACACATATATGTATATTTATAGATGTATGTATATTTAACAATAATAATCAAAGAAGAGGATAAGAAATGGGGGGGGCATGGGAAGAGGGGGAGGGATGGAAGTAAATATTCATGTGTGAAACTCAAAAATAAAAATATTAAATTAAAAAGGGGGGGGTTAAGCAGATGTATTGTCTCACACCTGCGATCACAGTGCTTGGGAAAGGGAACAGGAAGATCAGAAGTTCAAGGTCATCCCCAGTTAGAGGGGCTTTGAGGTCAGCTACATGAGATCCTGTCTAAAATAAAAACACAACAATAAAAAAATAAAAATTTTTTTCAAAGATTGATTTTCTTTTTAATCATGTGTATGTGTATGTATGTGTGTGTGTTTGCAGAGGGGAGCTATATGCACATGCATATGGGTGCCCACACAGGGCAGAAGAGGGTATTGGATCCCCTGGAGCTAGAATTACAGACAGCTGTGAGCTGCTGGATGGATGTGGATGCTGGGAAGGACACTCAGCAAGAGCAGAGTGCATTTGACTGCTAAGCCATCTCCCCGGACCCCCCAAAAGGATTTTAGAATGTTGCTAGGAGGGTGTACCTCAGTGGTGGAGATCTTGCTTTGTAGGCACCAGGCTCTAGTCTCAATCCTCACTCCCCCACCCCCAAATCATCATTGTTATTAAAGGAAATACCTTGAGTTTAATTCCAGCATCTGGCTGAGGTTTGCTGCTGCTGTGTAACACAGGGAAGTACCAGTCAGGTGTACACTCATTAAACGAATTTGGGTTTCCCAGACCCATGGCCAGCAAAGACAATTTTCCCATGGGGCTAGCCTCTGCTCACTTTTCCAGGCTCCTAATTTTACTACATTAAGAACACAGGAGTCACTAAAAACTTCACCACAGAGAGGGGTGTATGGAGGCTTGAGAACAGCACCAGTCAGAGAAGAAACGGCAAACAGGTGCAATATATTCTAACCCAAATCCTCCAGAGTACCATTTCAACACGTGATCAGTTTACACAGTTATTAGTAGGTTACATTACCTTGGATTTGTATGCAGTCTTTGTAATCCAGCATCTTTTTTCTTTCTTCTGATTGTAGTGCTGGCAATGGGATCTTGCCTTGCTCATGCTAGGCCAAGTGCCCTACCACCGAGAGACATCCCTAGCCTTTCCTTGGTTTTTTGAGACAAAGGTTCACTATGTAGCTTAGGCTAACTTTGAACACACAATCCTTCTCCCTCAACCTCCTGAGTTCTGGAATTCCAGGCATGTACCACCACACCAATCCATCCAGTGTCATTTTAAAAAAAATATTTATTATTATTTTTTTTATTTTATCTGTATGAGTGTATTGCCTGCATGTATGTGAGAGCACCGTGTCCTGCAATGCTGCGGAGGTCAGAAGAGGGCTTCAGATTCCCCTGGAACTGAAGTTAAGGACGGTTCGCAGCTGCCATGTGGGTGCTGGGAATCGAACCCGGGTCCTCTGCAAGAGCAGTCAATGCTCTTTACCGCTGAATCATCTCTCCAGTCCTTCATTTCTGCTTTATAAATTTGGGGTTGGAGATACAGCTGAGTGTTTGACCACCTGCCTAGCAAGCATGAGTTCCCAGATTCTATCCCCAATACCACAAGCATAAATGAATAAAAATAAAAACTACCAATTGTTATGTTGTAAGGTAATGTGATCAATTTTGGTAAAAGTAACATGGACAGTTTAAAACAAGAAGGAAAGCTCTATGTTAATAATAGTTCAAGTTATTTATAATCTCATTCAATTTTAAAACCTTATGTAATGGTTCGTAGCCGCCATGTGGGTGCTGGGAATTGAACCCGGGTCCTCTGCAAGAGCAGTCAGTGCTCCTAACCACTAAGCCATCTCTCCAGCTCCCCAGTGTCATTTTTTTACACTCAAAATGCATCTCGGTTTGCCAGTCACATCTCAAGCACTCAAAAGCCACATGTAGTTGGTGGCCACTGGACCAGACAGTACAGGTACTGTGCTGAGAGCCAGGTGTTCACCAGTTGCAGGCAGGGCCTTGGGCATGTGCCTGACTCTGTTGCACTGGGCTAGCCCTTCTACAATGAAGTCAGATAGTCCCTAAGGGCTCATATGTATCTAAAGGCATGCATAGTCTGTCTCTTTCTGAGAAATATATACATTAAAGACTTTGAGGAAGATGGATGAATAAATAGATAGGTTGATGCATGGTAAACAGTGGGTAGATAGAAGGGTCACTGGATGGATGGAGGATAGATGAGTGGATGGATGGGAGATGGGTTGAGTGGATGAGTGGGGGATGGGAAGGGAGATAAAAGGATGATAGCTGGACAGATGGGAGGGAAGGAGGAGTAGGGAGAAAAAAGAGAGGAAAGAGATGACAGGGAGGGAGGGAGGGAGG